GTGCATGTATAAAAGAAAGAAGAGGAATGTATGAATAACAAGCCTCCAAACTAACACTTGTCATATTTTACCTTGATTATAGCTAGGTAGCATAACAGAAGCCAAGCAATTCAAAGAGCAATATCCTCAAAACAAACAAGCAAGCAAGGCATTCTCCATAATGTCAACCTGATTTCTCCAGTGTATGAACCCAATCAAATGTTCATTGCAAGAGTGCAAAAATTGAGGGGGGCAAAGAAAATGATGACAAGGGAGGAGGGGGAGGCGCCGCCCGCTTGCCCTCTGCGCCTAAACAGACATATGCCCTACAAGTGGAGGACCCGTCGTACCCTGGCGGTGGCAGCTCCTCCACGGAGTTGCACGAAGCACCCTCCACCCTGCTGGGGGACGACTACCCGCCCGTGCGGAGCTACGGGGATTTGAGGGATTTGTTTTGGGTAGAGTCTGGGAAGGTGTGGGGCATAGCTGGTCCTATTGCCTTCAACATTTTGTGTAATTATGGGATTAATTCCTTCACAAGTATCTTTGTTGGCCATCTTGGAGATGTGGAGCTCTCTGCTGTTTCCATTTCCCTGTCTGTCATTGCCAACTTTTCCTTTGGATTCTTGGTTGGTTTCTTTCCCATTTCATCCTACTTTTCCATCATTTGAATTCTTGAATTGGTTAAATTCTTTACTCATATATTTTTATTTTTTGTTAGAAATTTTAACGCGCTAAGTGACAGCAAAGGTTCGCAAAATTGAAAATTCTCGATCCTCGTGGACAAATATTAAGGCAGAGAAATATTACTTTTGTAATACATGACGTATATATACCCAGACAATTCAACTTTCAATGTATCACAATAGTCACCGTAGTACGAAATATTTCTCAATTTTGCGATGTTTTGGTTTCCATCAATGCGCAAAAAATCAGAAAAGATTCTTGTCAATAATCTCAAAGTTTCGATTGTTTTCAAGAATACTTCAAGGTTACATAATCATCGCCAATGCTCCTAGATATTCACTATTTCTACAATAATAAGAGATTTTTTCTTTGTTTACATAGATCTTCCTATTATTGAGACGTATCTCCGATCAATATGCAATCTTGAAGTACTATTATAAAAACAAATTGAGTTTTAGGGTGCGCTGGTGCCTGATGATGATTATGTACGTAGTCTTGATATATTCATGTAAAATCTCAAATTTCCCGGACGTATTAGCATGAATATAACATAAAAATAGTTACATATTTTATATATATATATATATATATATATATATATATATATATATATATATATATATATATATATATATATATATATTATTTTCTCATGGGACTTATTCAAAATTATTATCAGTTAGGCATGGGTAGTGCACTAGAGACATTATGTGGGCAAGCATTTGGAGCAGGGCAGATAGAGCTTCTTGGAGTGTACCTGCAAAGGTCATGGCTAATCCTTGGAGCATCATGTGTTTGCATGTTGCCACTATACACACAATCCACCCCAATACTAAAGCTGTTGGGCATAAGAGACGATATCGCGGAGCTAGCGGGGGACTTCTCCATCAAAATCATACCCCAAATGTTCTCCCTGGCAATAAACTTCCCGACTCAGAAGTTCCTGCAGGCGCAGGTCAGGGTGGGGATTCTGGCGTGGGTGGGGTTTCTGGCCCTCATCACGCACGTCGGGTTGCTTTTCCTCTTCGTTAGGGTGTTTAGGTGGGGCACGAGTGGGGCTGCGGTGGCCTACGACGTGTCTGCTTGGGGGGTGGCGTTGGCCCAAGTGGTGTACATTGTGGGGTGGTGCAGAGACGGGTGGAGGGGTCTTTCGTTGTTGGCTTTCAAGGACCTTTGGCCTTTTGTCAGGCTCTCTGTCGCCTCAGCTGTCATGCTCTGCTTAGAGATTTGGTACTTCATGACCATCATCGTCATGACCGGTCACCTCGGCGACCCTGTCATCGCCGTTGGCTCTCTCTCCATCTGGTATACAAACTTCCTGAATTCTCTAGAATGTTCTCATAAAACTTCCTTCTGAGAACTGCCTAACCAGGACTAAAACATACTTCATAAACCAAAACAGGACTTATGCCAAACAATGTCAATATATAACAATATCAAAAACACTCTGAAACGCTAGCGAACAATACCACGTTGTGGCATTGCACGGTACCAAGTTACCAACGCTCCCTATTTAGGGAATAAAACATAAGAAGTCGTATTTTGGGTTTGGTATAAGTTTAACGTTTTAGTCCTATTTAGGTAGATTTCATAACTTCTTTCCCATATTCTTTTGGGAATATATTGGAATCTTCAACACTTTGATTGATGATGAATGACTGTTTTCATCAGCATGAACCTCAATGGATGGGAAGGCATGTTGTTCATTGGAATAAATGCAGCAATAAGGTAAGAAACTCATCACAGTGCTCATTCACTCATGGATGATGATGATGATGATTGATGATGATGATGATGTATGTATGTATGTGGGCACAGTGTCAGGGTGTCAAATGAGCTAGGATCAGGGCACCCAAGGGCAGCAAAGTACTCAGTGTATGTGACAGTGGCAGAGTCACTGTTGATAGGGATCTTCTGCATGACAATAGTCATTGCAGCAAGGGATCATTTTGCTGTGTTCTTCACTGACAGTCTGAGGATGCAGAAAGCTGTTTCCAACTTGGCTTACCTTCTTGGTGCCACTATGTTGCTTAACAGTGTTCAGCCTGTTATCTCAGGTCCTTCCTTCATTAAATTCTTCCTCTTTTTATGTGGTTAATAAAACATTAACCACATAATTATATTCTTTTGAAATAAGTGTGCAAAGTTATTTAAAAAATAAAATTGATGGGACACAGGTGTGGCAGTAGGAGGAGGTTGGCAAGCCCTTGTGGCATACATTAACTTGACTTGCTATTACATCTTTGGTCTTCCCCTTGGCTTCCTTTTAGGTTATAAAGCTGACTTAGGAGTTCAGGTAATAAAAACTTAATATAATTCTTATTTTTTATTATTATTATTGTTATTATTATTATTATTATTATTACTCATTACTCTGTATTATTTATTTATTTTTAATTATTATTATTAGACCTAGAACTAGAAAGAATAATGGAAACATAAAATATTGAAAATTTGGGAAGAGCTAACTATATAAAAGCCATGGATTTGCAGGGAATATGGATAGGCATGATTTTGGGAACATTTTTGCAAACTATAATTCTGTCCATTATAGTCTGGAAAACCAATTGGGATGACGAGGTAATGTATGAGTTTTAGGAAACTATATTTCAGACATTGATTGTGAAACAATGAATTTCATATTGAAATACACTGTTTTTTAAAAATCTGGAACTATAATATGTACTCTCTCTGTCCCAAAACTATGTTTGTGTTTTCTTCTTTACGATATTCCGCAATAAAGTTTGCAGTTCTTCAAAGGAAAGAATTTTTACGGTTCGTATTATTCAATATGAACCACACAATTTCACATTTTCTAAATTTTGTCGAAAAAATCAATTGAAAATAAGTATTTTTAGATTTTTCTTAACAAAAAAAATTATTAATTGCATTCAGGTGGCACAAGCATCAGAAAGAATGAAGATATGGAGTACACATGATGATGAAGATGATGAAGATCTGCTGATTAAATAGGCCCTTTAGCTCTGTTCCATCTCTAGTTCAATTCTTACCTCCACATACCATTTTTTTTAGAAATGTATTTTCTTCCCTATTTTTAGCCAGAATATAGAAATTAACCTCATTTGGAACAACACATTTAATTAACGTTAGCATTTTGAATTACGGGTAGTTTTTAACAGTGTACTTAAACCTGGATCAGTCAAACCGCAAACCAGACACGTAACCAGTCTGGTCCAAACCCACAAAAACCCATATTGGACTGTGTTGACCCGGGAAAAATAAAAAAAAACCGGGACCCAACCTCCATGCCGGTTCAATGGTCGGTCCGGGTTTAAAATCATTACTTTTTAATAGTGCATATTAACTTTTGAAAATGCTAAAGTTAAATGATGTCGTTATATAGTGTTTTCAAAATGTTAGAACTGTTGCCAAATGGGCATTTTTAATGGTTTAGTATAACTAGCAAAGTTTATGTGATGTGCCAATATAATCCAAATGTAAATTCTGAATCCAAATATGAAAAAAAAATATTTGACATCTAGAACCGTATTGAGGGCCGGTTTGATCGAGACCCAAGGGTCTAAGTCAAACAAGCAGAAAATAATTTTAATGGATCTTGGGTAAGGTTGTAAACGAACAAAACTGAAGACATTTGAATTAGTCTTTTTTATAAAACAATATTGACGTGTGAATTCTCTTTTACAATGGTTTATTTGTTCACCATGAGGAACCATATATACAACGGAAAATTCTACTTAAACTCAAGGGATGATACAGAGATTGAAATCATTATAGATAATTACTCACGCCGTGAGACAGTCATTATCAATATAAGAGACTTGCAGTGTCAACCTTGGTATCATCCGTGGTGTGATTGTAGCATGACGTAGATACAAATCTCGTTCTATCAATTGCCTTTAAAAAAAGACCAATGAAGGCACGCATATACGATGGTAAATGGTTGTCTTACCTTAATTTGCAGCTATACACACACAATCCCTTTAATTTTCGGAGGACTTTCGTTGATACATACAAGCCAATCTGCATCCACTTGTTTTTATCCATTCTGCAGACTACAAAAATAGTACCGAAGCAGACATAGTAAGTCATCAATCACCTCTGTTTTGTTCACATTTTAAATACTATTTCCAAAAAAAACAACTCAACTAAAAGTTTAAATTCATAATTAGAGTTCGAGGATTTACCAACTTTTGATGGGTAATTCATGGTCGAAATGTTGAAATGTAGACTATTTTACTGCTTGACATAACAAATAGTAGCATTCACATTTATGTTAATGTTTTATTATGAATATATAATGCTAAATTTGTTTTATATGGTGGGGTGTAAGTATTATTATGCAATTGAGTTCCCATGGGCCTAACAAAGCACTGTCCGTCCGTCATTCATGATAAGTCAGAATGAATCAAAGATGCAAAAAGACAGGGTGAAACAAAAAGTTTGTGCTTATTGATTTATCGTATATGTCAAGAAACCAACTCAACCAAAAGCTCAAGCTCGCGGTTGTAGGCCCATGAAAGGTTTTTAATACCATGTCAAGAAAGCAATTCAACCAAAGCTCAATCTTGTGGTTGTAGGCCCAGGAAGGATTTTTATATTCTAAAGTATCCCTTCACTCTAAAGTATCCCTTTACTCTCGGCTACGCATCCATGATCAAAAGAAACAACAACCAGTTGCCAGAAGAGTAGGGTATAGGGATCAAAAGACACAATGAACCTTAAATATGCAACAGTCCCTGCATATTTCAGAAAAACATACCTGCGCTGTAAGTTGTGCAGACATGTCCGCTGATCTTTGGCATTAAATTCCAGCCTCCCCATCTCCATTTTCTAGTAGAGGAGCCTTATCACCTCGGGACTCAATGTTTACTGCCAAGTTGTCATTGGCCACCCTCATTTCCTTAGATTTTCCCCACATCACACAGTAGAATCCGATAACAATTATAGTCCATCCCACCAAACTACAATAAGTTTTAAACTTATAACTATTAGTAAATAGCAGATAAAGTAATGCACGAGAGCACAATCATGCAAAAGGGGAAAGATAAAAAATAAAGCCCGTTTCCCAAGTTTGATCAGTATGGAGCAGCTTTCCTATACGAAGAGGATTGTCAGTACCTTCCAACATAGAAAATGTCCCCTAAAAAGATTATGCCCAGCGCAGCAGCAATTACAATCCCTAATGGATGAAACACAGCAACAAAAAGAGGCCCTTTCTTGCGTATGCACCAGACAACTACACTGACTTGGAATGCAGAGCCGAAAACCGCCTATTAAGCAGAAAGATGAAATATAAGTTGAATGAACACACTAAACATTCTCGATTTAAAACTTTGAAATCAAGATTCTCATTTTTTATACATCATGATCAAACACAACTGTGGATTTGCAACTCAGGAATTCAAGGAAGGATTATTGAACTTGTACTCAAGAAATAATAAACAGTTCATATGCCTAATAACATGAAAACAAATACAGTTAAAATAGTAGATGCTTTAGATTAAGCTAAAGAAGAAGGAAAAACATCGAGTGAAAAGAGCTTTATCATCAAGAGACTAGAGAGAAACCAAAAAGAGCTGACCGAGTATATGACAGCAAGCCACCTCATATCAGGCGTTAACATCCAAGCATTGATGTCCCTGTCCACAATTAGCGAAACAAGTGCAGAGAGAATGGCCGTAAAGAGGAAGTAAAAGAAGACCACGACCAGCTCTACTGGGTAAATCTTAAGAATGGATGCCTGTATAGAAAATAAATTTAATGTGAAAAGCAGTTTTCAAATATGAAATTCATAATGTTTCGATAAAATAGTCTCTGCATATCCAATTAGTAAAGAGTTTCACACACTAATTTACCTGTGCAACTAGAAAAGCAGACGAAGCCAAGCAGTCAACTAACAGGAATGCTGCTCCAATAATCCAGGTCAAGTCTAATTGGGGTAAATATAAATGACGCAAGTTGGATCTTGTAGAGGCTGACATCGTCAAATTTTGTGGTCCCTTACAGAGAGTAGCAATGAATGCTCCAATAATTGAGACAATTGTCCCGATACCTTTGGCCATGGTACTTGAGCTGGCAAGATCCAGTTTCTCCATTCTAAAACAACCACGTATGAAAACAGTGTCAGCTCTTTTCACTTCTCTAGTTGCTCAGGTTATAGATATCTGGTTTTGCAAGTAGCACACTTGTCACTTCGATTATTAGAGACATAATTCTTCTTTTCCAAACCCTTAACTAAGGTTTACCATTATACTCCTAGTCCCTTCGTCCCACAATGGAATAGCCATGATTATTAAGAAAAGTCAAACTGTGTGGTTGAAAATGATGCAAAAGAGAAATAATATGTCACAGAATTTTTTTCCTTAAATGGAAAATTGAACCTTATCTTGGGACAAACGAAGAAAGAAAAGTGGAACCTTTTTATGGGATAGAGGGAGTATTGCCAATACAGTTTGAGTTTTTTACCATGCTGTTCGCACCACCTTTCAGTTTTAGGGATCATTTTTATCTAGTACTTCAAAAATTTACAAAAATCTTCAAAATTTCCAATTTATTAACATCTTCGGATTGAATTCATACTACCTATAGCCATAAAAAATGTTTAACCAAACAACTTTTGATTTGAAGTGAGGTACAACTCAATAAGTAATGGGTCCTCTTAAATATTTTCAGCTTATTGGTTGATTGTTTTAGGACAGTTATTGTTATTATTGAATTGGACTCTTTCAGAGACAAATGGAGAAATAAATAACCAATTCTATTTTCATTCATACTAGTTGAGTAGGCTCCATTTTCATCAGAGTTGAGCTTAAATGCATTGCCCATCATAAAAGACAATTTTTGGAATTTTGGTTAATAAGCAAGTAAAGTTGGCGTTGATAAAATAAAGTGCAGATAAGATAGGCTCTGGAAATAGATGGATCGGTCCAGGATGAACATTCGTCCAGGACCGGTTTTGTTCAGTAGTTAAACAAAGGAGTAGACATTTAAGAAAATCAGCCCATAATAGATTGCACACACAGAAAAGGAAATGTTTAGAATTTTTCAAATACAATGGATGAAATGTAAAAAACATATTAACATGCTACATTCATCACACAAGCAAGCACTAGTTCAGAATGGTTTGAATTAAAAAATTCATCTTTCTATTCAAAAGGCACACTCTAGTGTAGGGCTACTATCAACAAGTATCGAGAGATGTCTTGGATATTATAAATAGGCCTGTCATGGCCAAAAACAAACACCCAAGCATTTTTTTAACAAAAAAAAAATCCCATGCTTCATTCCCATACAAATTGTATTAAACACATGAGTATACTTCTCATTGATGCGCTTGTTTTACATTCACAAGCTTTGAGGCTTGTTAGTTCTAAAGTTTATTTTCAATTTGTTGAGACCCTAACACTATGTTTGGTTCAAGGAATTTGAAAGAGAAAAAGAAAAGAAAATGAAGTGGAAAACAGTTTTTCTTGATTGGTTAGAGAGGAAAAGAAAGGAAAAGTGGAAGGAGAATAAAATAAGAAGGCACAATGTTCTAAGAGGAGGGAAAACCAAGTTCCTCCCATTTTGATGAAGAAAATGGGAGAAAATCATTGTCTTTTCTTTTCCTTCCAAATTCCTTGAACCAAACATAGTGTAAGACAACTATATAAGGGTGGAATTAAACTCGTTTATAATTCACACAACTTTTGGTGTCGCAAGCATTGCCATTCTCCACCGACATACTCTACCACGCTTGATTGTTCTTGCTCTCCAATACTTTCCTACCACATTGATTGTTTTTCTCTCATAGTACAATATCCAACAAAAACTACTTGTCCCATTATTTATTTACTTGCATGCATACTAACCTTTTCTTTTTACTTGTACACAAATACGCTATTTTCTTCTTAGCCCCTTAGTTTACAAAAAGCATAATTCATCAAAATCAATCTGCAATAGGACTTTTCAGCTAATGTCAATGAAACGAAACATATAAAGGGCTGTAAGACAAAGGAATACTACTCTACCACAGTTATGAGCCAGTCGATATTGAATAAGTAGCAAGGTTAAGAGCAAGGAGAGGAACGGAGTAAAAACCTGAAAGTGATGGCAAGTAGAAAAGTAAAACCTGGAATCAGGTTGAGCATTGCAGAGGCAAAAGATGCTGAAGTGTAGTTAATTCCAGTATACCCAGTAAGTTGTGCTGTGCATCTACAAAACATGAGCAGACCAACAAGCTCAAGATTAAGCGTTTACCGTAGCAGATCGAAAAGGGAAAAAAAACATTAAACAATGGACTCATTTGGTTTTTATTCTGCTTTTGGGTGATTCTCATTCTTCGAGTTGGTATTCTGTTGCTGATTCCAGAGAATGATAGTTGATATTCTTAATGCTAGAAATAAACAGTTTATTGATTTTAAATTCAGTTTCTGCCATTCTGATGAACAAAATAAGCAACTGGTTCTAGCTAGAATCTGCCAAAATATCAAAACTAATTAAGCCCAATATTTCCACTATTGCAAATAATAATAAGAGTAAATTCTACCTTTATAACAGGAGGTGTTCCACATATCATCCTCAAGATATTATGTTTGTGGCCCCCTATATTTGAGAATTATTCCATTATCAGTCCTTTGTGGACTATATGTGGGGTATTTGGGAATTTTTCCTCCAAAAACTGATCATGGAATAGTGGACCACGAACATTATGTCTTAGAATTGAGGACTAAATATAGAAAATTCCTTGTTATAAAACACTATACATAGAATTTACTCTAATAATAATAATAGTAATAATGATTATAATAGAAATAATAATCATAAGAACAACAACAACAATAATAATAATAATAATAACAATAATAGTAATCGGCATCACAATGACCCTTCCACAAGGGAGGTCACGAGTTCAAACCCTAGTGGGTGGAAGTCTGTGCTTTAATAGGTTGAGATTGTATGAATAAATACTACATTATAATAGAGTTATTAGTGTTCAAATAATAATAATAATAATGGCAACAAGAACAGTAATAATTATAATAATAACAAGAGTAAATTCTATAAATGGTCCCCAGTTATAAGTTTTTTTACATATTTAGTCCCTACATATCAAATATCAATAATTTAGTCCCCAATTATTATATTACTTTCCACAAATGGTCCTTTGTTAACATTTGTGTTAAGAACATCGAAAAAAGTGTATATTCACACTTCTCTCCCTCCTCAATTAAGCTTCCCCCTCCTTCCCAAACCCGTCGCTGAGTTTGAAGCTCTGAACCCAAAACGAAACGATCACTTCTCTCTTAATTGTTCATCTTCCTAATGTAACCCAAAAATCAAAATCAATAACCTTCATGGATGACTTTTATGAGTTAGTCTTAGGATATTGCAAAGAAAACAAACCTTAAAACTCATTCGATGAAGGTTAATGGTTTCGATTTTGGGTTCCACCAGGAAGACGAAAAATTGAGAGAGGAGAAATGATTTCAATTATGGGTTCAAAGCTTCAAACAGAGTGACGGGTTTGGGAAAGGAGTGCGAGGGGATGGAGGAAGCTTAATTGAGGAGAGAGGAGTGTGAATTTACAATATTATCTACGTTCTTAACGGAAATGTTAACAAAGGATCATTCGTAGAAAACAATTTAATAATTGAGGACTAAATTATTGATATTTAATATGTAGGGACTAAATATGTAAAACAAACTATAAATGGGGACCTTTTATGGAATTTACTCTAATAACAATTAATTAATTAATTGTGACACAATCAGATAGCATACCCAAGAATTCCAAGCAAGAAAAACCCACAGATGAGTGAAAAGGAGAGTGGTGGGCGAGTTGACCTGAAAAAAAATAAACAAAACCACTATTACAAAAGCACCAAAAGAAGGGGCCTGTTACACTAATAAAATGGCGTCAAAGATTTGAAATGGGTTAAAGGATGTTAAGAATGAAGTAGCATATATATATATACCCTTGGAAGAGGAAAGCAGGGAGGAGGAGTAGAAGGGCAGCAAGAAGATTGGAGTAGAAGACGAAGGTGAAATTGGTCATTCCGCTAGAGATGGCGGCTTTGCCCACAATCATCAACCCTACTTGAGCGAACTGGTTTGAAATCATTCCCACATATGGCAAAGCTCCCTCCATCTTCATCGCCATATCCTTATCTTCCCTCTCTTCTCGATCCTGACTCACTTCTAAATCATATGTTTCGTTTTATACTCCTTTTTAAAATAAACTAGTACAGCAATCCTCGAAGTTGAATTATCAAAATGCCACTAATTCAAAGTTCTCATTATTATTGTTTTGTTGATACGTTGTAAATATTGTAAAATATCCAGTACCATATTAGTACACTGTAAAATGAAAAAATTACTGCTGGGTACCCTAGATTTTGTGATAAGAACTGTCAGGTCCCATTATTTTTTAAAATGTACTCCGGGGTACCTTAAAATAACAAAAAACTTACTCCGAGGTGACATTCCGTCACTTTCTCCGTTAAACTCCATTCTCCGTTAACTTCTTCTTCTTCTTCTCCATTTTCGATTTCTTCTTCTTCTTTCTTCTTCTTCTTTTTCTTCCTTTTCTTCTTCTTCTTCTCCTCCTCCTCCTCCACCTTTTCCAGTCCTCCCTCCTCCGCCTACGGATCTCCTCCTTCTTCTTCTTCTTCCCATCCTCCCATTTTTTCTTCCTTTCTTCTTTTTGAACTCTTTTTTCTTCTTACCTATTATTATTATTATTATTATTATTATTATTCTTAAAATTAATTAGTATTTTTACCACTCTAATTTTTAAGAAAAATAGTGGAGTAGCACTTATTACTATAACTTCATATTTATTATTATTTTGTTCTTATTCTATAATTATTATTAATTACTCCGTATTATATTTGTTCATAATTGTTAATAATATTATTAAAAATAATTATTAGTTTTACTACTCTTTTTAAGAAAAATAACATTGATTGTTATTTAGAAAAATTTAACTTATTATAAAAAACACTTATAATTATTAATTGTATTATTTATTAAAAGAAATTTTTTAGTAATTTTGCTACTGCATTTTTTTATAAAAATAATAGTACTTATTATTATTACTTTGTATTAATTATTATTTACTTCTTATTATTTTACTTTTCTGCTATTGTTTTAATATATAATTGTTATTAAAAATTAATGAGTAGTTTTATCACTCTTTTTTAATAAAAATAAAACTTATTATTATTTATAAAAACAACACTTATTATTTAAAATAAAACTTAATATTATCGATGTTGTTTTTCGCATTAGTCACGCAGTAGTCATCGATAGCTGCCATTATGAAATGTGACGTATAATTTATATCCAAGTGAATAAATAATCTTAATTTTATAAACTATACATAAATATATCATACTAAAATTAATTTTTAATTAAAGCTTAAAAATACTTTAACCTACTTTTACGAAAGTGAAAAATTAGAAATTGAAAAAGGTCAATGGGGGCATACAAAGTAAAAAAATAGAAGAAAAAAATTATAAGAAGTAAATAGTAATTATTACTGTTATTTTTCTTAAAAAAGAATAGTAAAACGAATAATTTATTTTTAATAATAATAGAAATAATTATTAATAAAAATAATACAGAGTAATTAATAATAATAATAATAATAAATATAATAGAATAAGAAGAAAATAGTAATAAATATGAAGTAAAAAGAATAAAAATGGTAAAACTTCTAATTAATTTTATAATAATAATAATAATAATAGGTAAGAAGAAAAAAGAGTTCAAAAAGAAAAAAAGAAGAAAAAATGGGATGATGGGAAGAAGAAGAAGAAGATCCGTTGGCGGAGGAGGGAGGGAGGACTAGAGAAGAAGAAGAAGAAGAAGAAGAAGAAGAAGAAGAAGAAGAAGAAGAAGAAGAAGAAGAAATCGAAAATGGAGAAGAAGAAGAAGAAGTTAACGGAGAATGGAGTTTAACGGAGAAAGTGACGGAATGTCACCTCGGAGTAAGTTTGTTGTTATTTTAAGGTACCCCGGAGTACATTTTAAAAAATAATGGGACCTTCCAGTTCTTATCACAAAATCTAGGGTACCCAGCAGTAATTTTTTCCTGTAAAATCTTATTTTGGAATTAATACATGAAACTCCATCATATTCTTTATATTTTACTCATATTCATGGTCATTTCTTTACTTTTTATAAGAAATTTGAATTTATAAGTCATTTGATGACATATTTAATTATACTTATAAATTGCTTATAACCCAGAAAAATAAATAAGTTTTACCAACTTATTTTCAAATCCCATTTTTCATTTTAATCGAATTGTTTACAAAATTATACTCCCTCCGTCCCAAATTATAGTGCTTGTTCACTATTTACATGGTCAAATTTCATCCACTTTCTTTCTCAATTTTCATTAGCAATTTGATAAAATAAAATACTATTGCCACTACTAGTTTTGTAGATCTTTTGATGTAATATTTTAATATGTAATTTTTATTTTTTAACTATATACCATTTGTCATATAAAATGATTTGAAAATAATTTCAGTCAAACATCGTAAACCGAAACAGGCATTATAAAATGTGACGGAGGGAGTATATCACCGTTTTGAATATTTTTAATTGACTTATTTATCATTTAAGTCTCTTTACACCGACAAAAGAATGTTTAGCGTATAAAAAACTTATAAGTTAAAAATTGTTTCTTACCAATAAGTTAACAAGCACCAGCACAGAAAAAACACCCTCTTAGGCTCTATTCGTATCAGTTGTAAAAACATAGTTGGATATTGAAAGAAACTGGAAAGAGTTGGAAAAAACAAAAAGTTATAAAAAGTTGAAAAAAATGAAAGTAATTAGAAATATTTGGGAAAACTCAAAAAGTTAGAAAAACTAGAAAAGTTAATAAAAACTAGAAAAATTGGAAGTAGGAGAAAAATTTCTTTTGGAGCTCTACACCAGAGTATAAGGAAAGCCCCCTTATTAAATGAAAACTGGGGAAGATGTTTGCCTCGCTAAACAAGAAGGTGAATTGGGATTAAAGAAGTTGCTAGTGTGGAACGAGGCCTATGTTGTGAAGCTTATGTAGGATATAGCTAATACAAAAAGACACATTGTGGGTGAGATGCGTTCATAGTAAATGTTTGCGAACTTCTATATGGGATTACTCCATAAAAGTTGATGACTGTCCAGGTCAGAGGACTCTTTTTAGGCATTAACATGATAAATAGTTATGATAAGGAAGGGTATGATTGGCTCAGAGGCACATATATGAGAGTGGATTGAGCTGATCTAGTATGGAACAAATGGTTCATTCCTAAACATCCCTTCATAGCTTGCCTAATCTCAGCAGGTAGAATTCTCACTAAGCATACATAGTGCAAATTTATAACAATTGATACTAACTGTGTGTTGTGTGATAAGGGAGTGGAAACAAGTTCGATCTACTCTTGCTCATATGCAAAATCAATACACGAGATTATTTCTAAATAGATATAGCATGATATTTCTTCTAGTTCCCTCAGTGAGTTGGGGCAAAAAATGAAGTTGGGGAAAAATAAGGACAACTTATTGCTACATGTATAGCGGTGTCCTGTTACTTCTCTTGGAAGGCTAGAAACCTCAAAATTCATAACAAAATGGAGGTCACCAAAGAGTATATTGTGAAAACCATGAAAGTTAGTATTGTGATGGTGATTGGGAATAGACATAGTTCACTTATTTCTTGATTTCTAGTGTTATATGCTGTGACTGTATGAGGTAGGGCAACAGTAATGTGTGGGTTTGCATTCATATTGTTTGATATTTAATATTATGTGCTTTGTTCTAAAAAAGTAAGAATATGAATTACTATAAAAATACGTCAATTCTTAAATTAATAGTGTCATTGATTAAATTTGAGAGTAATGACGTAAAATAGAGAATTTCTTGGAGTAATAACATAACTTTTTCCAAAAAAAAAATAAATAAATAGGAGGACTAAAAATAGAATGTGCTAATTTGAGTAGGACCAAAAATATAAATCCAATCACCCCATTTTGATTGAACCACGAATCCATCAAGGGAGAAAGAAGCCCAATTTCAAAAGCACACCCAAACCCTAATCATTCTGTCCATTCCCATATAAAGTTGGTGGGATTCTCCATCTTCAAATTCTAATTTTTCAAGAAAATCAAACATACTTCTGTCCCTGTATATATTTTATTTTGAAATAGCGATTGAATGGCTCTTTGTTTGGCTCGTCGCACTCAGATCATCTTTGGATGAAGAGAATGAATGATTCCAGAGACTTTTACGAGTGCGTATAGCAAGTGAAATAACCCATCTCTGCTTGAGCCTTCTCCTCTCACCAACTCCATTGATATGGCTTCAATGTTTTAGGGTTACATTACTCACATTTCACTCAATGTTTTGAATACTCTTTCCCTCCCGAAATGGATACAACTGTCACTTGTTTGTAATAATTTGATAAAATAAAATATTTTTATGTTTATTAAAACTTTTTTGTGTGTACTTTAAAACGGCGTAATTTATATTTTTTTTATTTTTATACTAATTTTTTATCAGACCAAGAACAATCAGGGCATAATCTTGTGTTTATGGCTATAAGATCGTTTTTGTGCTACAGAAACAGAGACTAAAAGTGACACTAGCTGAGTCAATTGTGCATTGTTGAATCTTTGGTGGGATATCAAAGTAATGAAATTGGGGTTGTTTCCTTTGCTTTGACCATGTTCTTAAAAGCCGGAAAAAATTAGAAAAACCGGAAGAAACTAAGTTATTGTATGGAAACTAGAATTCACTTGAGATTTTAGATTTCAATTCCAACATATGAAACTCATAGTTATTTTTTATTTTGTCTAATTTAATTTGATTACAATAATAATAGTAATATGAATTAGTTGAGGACATGTTTTCTATCACAATATAAAAAGGTTTTGGAGCACAATTCCCCCTGTTTAAATTGGACACTTCTTTCTTGAGATGTCAAAGTGTATACGCAGATTGGTATGGATTGTAAAATGTTAAAACTATATTACTCCGGAGGCGGTTTCCGACGGATCCAAAATAAGGTAAACCAAAAGGTCAATTTCGCCGGAGGCGGTTTCCGGCGGGTCGGAGCGTTTTCCGGCTAAATCCGGCGAAATTGACGGCGGGCACCAACTCCAATGCGGTCGTGGCATCCGGGCGACCTCCAAGGACCCCTCAATTGCAAGATTTGATGAAGATTTGCAAAACCCCCAATTTTGGATCCAATTTCGAATTTTAGGGTTTTTTCGAGTAGATTACTTCAGATTCGAGAAGCTACAGGCTAAATTAGACAAAATGGTTTGGATATTATTGATCCTCGTCTCAAGACGAAGAGAATGACATTGGTCCCGCCGGAATCGGAAAAAGTTCATTTTCCGGCGACTTTGACCGGCGGGCGGCAGCGGTGGGGCGTGCAAGAAAAGAAAAGAAGAAATGGGGTCAAATTGAAAATTTTAAAATATATAAAATTCGAATTTGGCCATAATGACCGGAAGTTAACCTAGAAACGGGCTAATGGCTCATTAGTGAAAGGATTGTGTAAGTTCAGAGATTTTTGTGAAAGGATTTGAAGTTTAGGTACCACTTCGAAATTTCAGCTAAAGTTCAGGTATCATTTGTGAAATTTACCCATATTACTCCCATCAAATATTTTATTTTACACCTACAATTAAATAAATTGAATTAAAAATAAAGTCGATAAAACTTCGTAAACAGAACCGGGAGAACATTATAGGATGGAGGGAGTAGTAAAGAATCTTATGACATTTTGTTTTAGGAAAATACTAGGGGTACACCAAGGTGTACCCAAATGTCCCCCATCCCCTCCTTGTCTACAAAAAAAGGCAAGAAAATTCAAAAAAATAAGTAAATAAAAATAAAACAAAAATGAATGGTTATGGAGGGGGTGTGGGACATTTGAAAGGTGTACCCCTAGCATCTCTTTTTGTTTTAATGTCATATTATAACATCGATTGAACTGATACACTTAGGGTGTTTTAACCCGCTCTTGATGTATTTCCACACCTCCATCAATTACACCCCTTAAATTTTGTTGATGTTGGAATTAAAATTTTAATCTTAAAATCCTCACAATATTTTCTAGTATTATATATTGGAATGATTGACATTGTATATATATTTTAAGTTTTCTATTTTGGGAATAAAAACATGCAACTCATATTTTGATAAAAACTAGTATTTGAACTCGTGCCATGCACGGGTAGAACAAATTTTTTTGTCGATTCTAAATAAAATCTAAAGCAATATTTTTTCAAAAATAAAAAAAAATACTTCTCGCATGATATTTAATATCATAGAAAAAAACCAAAGTGGAATAAATAATATTTGAGGGATTGATTCTGTACAACACAACAAAAAATTAATACTCCGTACTAAATTTTCTGAAAGACTTTAGGGTATACAAAAGATATGTTCATTGTTCTTATTACTCATTTAAAAAAAAATTAAAAATAAATTTTAAATTTTACCATTTTCTTTTTGTTAAGGAAAAGAATTTGAGTATCATTTCTTTTTTTAAATAAATTTCAACCACATGTTTTTTAAAATTTTTTTCATTAATTTATTAAGTTATTTTTTTAATTTTTGGAAAAGTCAAATTATTATTCTTTTTTTTTCTTTTTTAATATAAAAAAGGTATGTGTTATACTAAAAAAATGTATTATTTTTCCATTCATATTTTTGTTGCATTTTAATATACATAGAATACATTTCTATTTTCAAAAAGATTTTGAAATATCAAATTTATATTATTCAATTTTAATTTTATATATTTCCATTCATATTTTTGTTGCATTTTAATATACATAGAATACATTTCTATTGTTCCATATGTCACAATCTTAGAAACCCAACTCTCACATTTTATATATAAAGATTTTCTATATTTTACGGATATCATAGTTTTTTTACCATGTATGAGAATTATAAAATAAGAAATGAAAAAGCTCTATTATTTCTATTTTTATGGTGTTTTAAAAAAATAGGGCAAAATGCTTACAATGTGCTTATATTTTTTTAAAAGTGTTTTCCAAGTCCCTAAATTATTAAATTATTTTAAGTGCTTACAAGGTCTTTATATTTTTTTGAAAGTGCTTCAGAGGTTCCTCAATTATTTTTAGTGTTTATCTATTTTCTATTTTTTTAACTGGTGCCTTAGTGGTCCCTTCGGTGGCTTTTTTCAGACTGTCTCTTGAAATTGTTGTAAGAATTGACATATTATCATAAACTTTTGAACAACTTGTGTGTGTTGCCCAAATTATTTCCGCCCACTTGGGCTGAAAAATGATATCGAAGGGACTAATAATGCACCAGTTAGAAAATATATAGACTTGGTGGGAACCAGAAATAATTTAGGAACCTATTGAGCACTTTCAAGAATATATAAAGATCTCGTAAATACTTAAAATAATTCGAGAATCAGAAAGCATTTTCAAAAAATCTATAGGAGACTTGTAAGCACTTTACCAAAAAAATCAAATTCAAGAATACCATTTTACTTTTTTAAACTTTTGGGAACTCAAACTAGAACTATCAATTTAAGAGAGAGAATATTGGAAATGAAATGAGACCACCAAATTTCATATTTTTCATAATTGAATGATGATGTATACAAACATAGAAATTACAATTTAATATTTTCCATAATCAAATCTTTCTACACCTTCATCATCCCAGATTCGTAGGGGATACCAGTGGGTTTAATCCAATCGTCTCCCTGAAGGAACACTCCGGCAGTGAACTGGTTCGCCACTTGTGGGGTTATGTTCTTCTTGTATCCCTTCCAGGTCACCCTACTGTCGAGCTTCGCCCCCGGGCCCCGGTTCTGATACTCCGCGTACCAACACGTGTCCAACGCAAAGGTACCAATCCACGGGGACCACCCCTCGGGGGCGATGAACCCGTCGATGTACGATTGCATGATGATCGTCCTCGAGAACTCCTTCCATGGCCTTCCGAGGAAGACCTGGACCGGAGGGTCAACCGTCTTCAAGGCTGGGTCCGGGAGGATCTCGCAGTTTTGGAGAACCAGGCCTCCGACCCCGCGGTGGTCTTTCCTCCCCTGCGCGGTCACCATGCAGGCCTGGTTCTCTAGGGGCTTCCTCACCACCATCTTGCAGTTCTGGAACACGGCGGCCGCGTTCCCGAAGATGAAGTCGATTGTGCCGGTGATGGTGCAGTCGCGGTAGTAGTGGCGGTAGGAGTGCGCGTAGAGGGTGTCCTGGTACCCGTCCATGTGGCAGTTGTGGAACGCGACTGTGTCTGCTGACACGCGGAGCGCGACGGCCTGGTGCTTTGTCGGGCCGGCGCTGTTCTCGAACCCGATGTCCCGGGCGATGAACCTGTCGCCCTGGATGGCCACGGTCGCGGTCTTGTAGGTCCCGATCCCGTCGATGTAGTTCTTGTTCCCAGTGATTCTGGTCTTGGTGGGACCCTCGCCGACGAAGACGACTTTCCTCATCTTCCTCGGGACCAGCACGTACTCCTCGTACACGCCGGACTTGATGAAGACGACGACAGTTCGGTTATTTTTGGCGGGAATTGACTTCAGAGCGTCGTTGATCGTTTTAAATTTCCCACTCCCGTCCTTGGCCACCACAATGTCTGGGTTGATGGAAGCAGGACGAGCAGCGAGGAGGCGGCGGGCGGAGGCGTCGAGAAAAGTCGGGTACCCGCTCTCAATCACGTCACTGTCAGCCGCCTCCAGGAGCCTCCGGTTGAGCCCGGGGATCTCCAGGGTCTGCATGAGGTCGGTGAATTGGGTGATCATGGCGAGGCCATTGCTGGTGAGCTCGCCGGAGGTCCTCAGGAGTTGCTTCATTTTCTCGCCGGTGTCGCTGGTGGTGTTCTCGAAGGCGTCGATGCAGGTCTGCTGGTGGGTGATGGCGCCACTCAACCAGACCTTGAGGTCGCTGGCATACTCCTGGATCTTCGAGAGGTCGAAATCCTCGAGCTTCTCGAAGGACCTCTGGAGGTCATCAATACAGTCCTCCAGAACCTCCTTGCACGTGTCCAACGCGCTGGAGGTCCGGGGATCCTTGGCGGCGCTGTTGAGCAGCGCCGACTTGGAGATCGCGTCGGAGACGTTCTTCACCGTCACGGTGAACGCCAACTTGATGAGCTCTTTAGGGTCACTTGTGTTCTTGGCGCCCGCCAGACTCCTCTCGCAAGTCTCTTTGAAATCCGTCAGGGCACAAATGGCCTTCACGGATTTCGTCGACGTCGAAATCTCGCCCGACCCAGAACCCTCACCGGACGATGAACTACCCCCGTAGGTGCCGCGGACAGTGACAGTGGCCACCACCACGCATGCCACCAAGAGAACGGAAGCCACACCGGCGATCACTATCTTTTTCTTGCTCCCGGCATCACCGGACCCCATTTTTTTTGTAAAAATTAAATTATTATTATAATTGATATTATTACAACTTTGGGATGGGGTCTCTTATTGGGATACCTTTGATCCCCACCTAAATTGGGTTTTATGATGGTGATTAAAAAGTGACGAATGTGAGGGCTATTTATAAGAAAAAAAATTAGAGGGAATTGAGGTGGAGAAATGATGGGGGGAAAATGTGGTTATAAGAGTTTGTAGGGATGAAAAGAACGCTTTTGGGGGATGAATATGTGTTCAAAAATGGAGAGAGTTAAGAGATTAAAGAATGTTGAATTGAAGAAGTATTTGAGGTGGAGAAAGAAGTGGTGGAATAGACATTTTTTATTACTTAAGAAATGTCTATTTCCATGTACGGGTATATTATGTAAGACAACCTTTTTTCGACCTTGAAAACCAAAGTCATATTATGGCTTGGGGGACTTACGGTATCTGTTAGTAAAATTGATGGTTCCTACCCTCTTAAACCGACACTCCAGCACCTCCTGCTTCTCACCCTTAATCGCTTATTTGGGCAACCTAAATCGGCGATTCCGAGTGGGGGCAGAGGGTGTTGGGGTGGGATGCAGAGTGCAGGGATTAGGGAGCAGAAACCATCAATTTTACAAACAAAACATTGTATGTGTTGCGGTCATAATATGATATTGGGTTTACTGATCTAAAGAACCTTGCCCGTAAGAGAAAAACTAGAATCACAAATACAAATGTTACAAAATATACAAACTCATCACTTGTAGTCGTGAAATCGTTACATTTTTTACTTCAGAGCAAAATTTGACTTATTTATAAACATATTGTTAAGAAAAATATGAATTGTTCATTTATGAATTAATTAGATCATGCTCCATCATAAGTTGCAGGAACAAATTGTCCATCATCATTCATCACCATCAAGTTGCCATTTGTATAGTATGTATACTATTTGTAATAGTGTTAGCACTAAGCCTCTCTACTATAAATAAGAGGCTTAGGATCTCTGTAAATTACCATTAAGAATAAGAAGAAGAGTGAAGAGTTAATAGAGAGAAGAAATCAGAAATATATTATATCTATTCTCATAATATCTGAGTAGTTTTTCTCTCATTTTACAACACGTTATCAGCACGAATTTGCTCAACATCCCAGAAACCTTGTTCTTCTTATAGGTATATTTCATCAAGAAATTTTTTATATTTTTTATAAAATAATTTCTCAAAACTATGAGAAGTATGCTCTGTGATTGCCCAAATTTGGGATCCTTCACATCAGAAAATCTTATTTTTCACAAATTAAAACAAGAGGTAGAACTTGATACATAGTAGCTAAGATTTAAAAAACATGAAAATCAATTTTACCTTTCAAAATTAATATTTAAAAAAATGAAATATAAGATGTAAGAGATTTTAAAAAAAAACAATCTTTACCTTAAATCATTTCTTGGTAATCTGCTGCCTTCTAGTAATATTTTTCATCTTTAGAGTATGCCACATACTAGAGTTTTGTTTTCTTGTTGCTAAAATTGGAGACATTAACAAGTTTTTTTTAAAGATATCAATAGCTTAAATAATATAATAGCTCTAGCATATACGTACTATGGTTCACTCTTTAAAAAAAAAATTGGTGTACTTTATTTGTCTTTTAACAATTATTTGGAGCATCTGGTCAAAAATAATAATAAAAATAATATTTAAAACAAAATAAATAAGAGAATAGAAAAGATTCCATACGGTTCCCTTTAAAGTACGAAGTACACTTGTTTTTTTTTAAAATTAGAATCTTATGATGTGTACTATGATGTGTATTATTGTTTAACATGTTCTCTTGCTTATATATAAAATTTTATTTTTTTTTTATTTCGTATTTTTTTTAAAAAAATACTAATTTAATTAATATTTTGTAGTTCTCATGGCCAACATCACCAAAAGAGAATTCGACATCCTTGATTTATCTGGTCAAAGGTACCTGGAATGGAGGGTTGATGCACTTGCTCACCTTAAGGCTAATGGCCTCGAAAATACAATTGCTGAAAATAATACATCATCATCTCAGCAAAAGGCAAAAGCCATAATTTTCCTTCGCCACCATCTTCATGAAAGTTTAAAATCTGAATATTTATTGGTGGAAGATCCGAAGGAATTATGGGATAATCTCCAAGAGAGATACGGACATCAACAAAAGGTCATATTGCCAAGAGCTCAATATGAATGGATCAATTTAAGATTCCAAGATTTCAAATATGTTTGTGACTATAATTCTGCTATTTTTAAAGTCACGTCCACATTAAAATTATGTGGACATAATATCACTGATCATGACATGTTGGAGAAAACTTTTTCCACCATGCATATGTCAAATGTGATATTACAGCAACAATACCGAGAAAGAGGTTTTAAAAAGTATTCTGAGTTAATCTCATTATTACTTGTTGCTGAGCAGAATAATGAGCTCTTAATGAAAAATCATAACATGAGGCCCACCGGTTGTAGCCCTACAAATTTTGGCCATCCTGATCGTGGTTCAGCACCAGAATCAAATGTTATCCAAGGTGGTGCTCGCGGACACTTTAAACGTGGACGCGGAAATAACCGCAACAAAGGGCCGAACAGGGACTATAAAAATCCAAATGGATCATCCTCCAAAGGAAAAGGAGAATTCAAACCACCACAGGCTAAAACTTATGAAAAGCCAAAACCAAGTGGTGAATGCTACAAATGTGGCATAAAAGGACACTGGGCGAATGAATGTCGAACGGCAAAACATTTGGTTAAATTATACCAGGCTTCCACAAAAGGAAAAGGGAAAAATGTGGAAGCTAATTATGCTGATGATATCAATCCAATTTTGCCTAAATTTGACGTGTCCGATTTCTACATGGATGATGTTGAAATTGGTGATGAAGTGACCTTTGGTGGAACTACTACTATTTAAACATTTTCATTTACTCTGTTATGGTGTGTTTACTTTTTAAATAAATGTTGGAAATTTGTATTTTATTTTCATGTGTGCTTGTATTATTATGTCTCTTCTAAAAAAATAATGATAATAAAATGTATAATATTTGTGTTAATTATCTTTAACTTATATTTATTTATATATTTATTTGTATTCAAGATATGGAGATAACTGCTTATGGCTCCAGTGACAAAGAACAATGTCTAATTGGCAATGCCACAACGCATACCATTTTGAGAAACAAAGAATATTTTTCTCAAATGACAATGATGGAAACTAATGTCAATACAATCTCTGGTGTTGCGAAGCTCATTGAAGGGTCTGGAATAGCTTGTTTAATCCTTCCCCAAGGAACAAAATTAATTATCAAAGACGCATTATATTCCAGCAAATCCCGAAGGAATTTATTGAGCTTTAAAGATATGCGTCAAAATGGTTATCACATTGAAACCATGACAGAAAATCAAAAGGAATACTTGTGTCTAACGACAACCAAATCTGGCAATAAAATTCTTTGTGAAAAGATGCCAGCGTATTCCTCGGGGCTATATTATACTCACATTAGTCCCGTTGAAGTGAATGTT